TGCTCCCATACTCATTTTGGGGGGGTGAGGGGCGGATGGGGAGAGGCTCTATGGTATTTAACAGATGTTCAAGAGTCTGGCTGAGACCCAGGAAACATGCGGCCAAATCCCACCAAAGCAACAACTGCTTGTCTCCCAGTTCCACGAGGCTGTTGTGAGAATCAGACAAGGTTTTGGGTGCAAAACGACTTTCCTAACGAAAGGGAAGAAAGGGAACGCAGAGGAACTGATCCTCCTGTTCTCTGCCCCACGGGGACTGCAGAGGGTCACAGGGAGGAAGGGCAGTCCCTGAGCCCTCTGGGTAGCATGGAGCTTGGGAGTCCGGAAGAACAGTAGAGAGGAATGACAGGGGATGATTCTTCAAATAAGTGGGCACAGTCCCTTCCAGGGCGGATAATGGGGGGTCTGCATTCCCTCTTCACCTGCCAGTAGCCGCCCCCCGCTCCTGCCCCCCCCTCCCCCCGAGAAGACAGCTTCCCAGCCCCCAGCAGCACAGGTCTCAGTTCCAAGCAAGCCACAGGCACTGCGCACTGCAGTGAGGCTGCTGCATGTGACTGCAGAATGTCTGCGGCTGCAGAACTTGCCGGAGGACACGGCCAGGCTCTCACGGGTCACGCCTGCTGCCGCCCAGGGGCCAGGCAATGGAGGCGCCTCGTGGTCAGAGGAATAGTGGCGACCTCGCACAGCCCACCCTGGAGCTCCACCCTCCTTTCTCATTCTCTGCCTTGCCAATGACATTCCAGCTGAGATTCCGGATCTCTGTGCAGAAAGACTCCAGAAGCCAGTCTGGTTTTGCACAGGTCAGAATCACTCCCCAACTTATTCCTCCCAAACGATCCACTTTCACATGTCTTAGCCATCCCTCCACCTCAGCAAAGCGCTGCTGAGGCGGGCAAGACTCCATTCGCTACCCACGTCCCCCCCAGACACACTGAGGAAGGGTGGGGGCAGCGGGTGGATGAGGACAGACTGACACATTTGCTTTCCAGGGAAGGAGGATGGTGAAGAGTGGGGCTCACCACTTCATTCCAACTGAGAAAAAAAAGTGGCGGGGTATGAAACTCCTTTGGGCTACACGCCATTTCCCATTTTACAGCATTCCCACACTCAGCCTCAAAGCACTGATGCAGAAGGGGCTTCAGGGAGAAACAGGTCTGTGGCTGCCCCCCTTGCTCAGAGTGCCCCGCAAGGCTCGAGGGCTCCGGCACGTCACACCCCACCCCATCCTCTCCATGTCCCTCTGGCTCCCTCTGCCGTAGCCACACTGGCCTTCCGGCCCTTCCTCAAACCTGCAGGACACACTCTCGGCTCCAGGCCCGTGCCCTTGCCATTCCCTCTGTCTGGAATTCTTTTCCCCCAAATATCTTCATGGTCACTTCTGATCCTTACCCAAATATCAGCTTCTCCGTGCGGCCTTCTCTAGACAACTGATCTCCACTTACAGCTCCCATCCGCATTCGCTCTGCATACACCCTCCTGACTTAATTTTTCTCCATTGCATTTAACCTCACTTGACATTCTTCTATGTTATAATTTATGTATTGTCTGTCTCCTTCCGATACAATGTAAGCTTCCCCTGAGGGTAAACGTTCTGTCTGCTTTATTCACTGCTGTGTCCTTAGGGCGTGGCACAGCATCTGGCACATACTAGGTGCTCAACAAACGGCTGTCACTCTTGCTGTGATTTGGTCTCCTAATCTCCAGTCCCTGGCAGCTCGGCCCTTGTATGTGGATGGCTGAGCAGAGCCACAGGAAAGTGAAAGAATGGAGACGGGAGGTGAAGAAAGGAGAAGACTATGAGGACATATGGATAAGTATGTGCGTGGAGGGATGACAGCGAGCAAAGTGAAGGTTAGGAGACTTCTAATTAAAGAAGAGAGGACGTGCACAACGGCAAGTGCCGAGGAAGAAGAGACACACGACAGAGGGGGAAACTCTCCAGAGTTCTGGGAAGTCTAATCGGAGCAAGCAGTCGACGCTCGGGCAGCCAGCCTGGGCCTGGCCGCAGCCGGGGCTCTAGGCCCCTGCCCGTGTCCTGCTCCAGGGACATCCTCCGTAGTCCAAGGTGCTGTGTGGACAGGAGGCCTGGCAGGAGGAGGAAGAAACCCAGAAGGAAAAGGAGGGAGAGAAGGCAGGATGGGGCCGAGTAAGAGACCCCGTGAGCGATCCAGGCGAGCGTGGGTGGCAGAGCGCTGGGCAGTGGAAGGGACCACAGGTGAGAGGCCCAGAGAAGTTCAGTGGGACGAAGAAGGGAGCAGAATGGAAGGGCGGCAGAGGGAAGTGGCCTGGGAGGAAGCGCAGAGGTGAGAGGCAAGCCTGAGTACGGTGCTATTACATATTTCACAGCCACCTCCCAGACCTGTGCAGGGAGGCCCCTGCTGCTGCCTTCTGCCCTGGAGTTCTGTGCCTCTTCCTCCCGCCCTCCCCTCCCCTCCCCCTTCCCACCCTCCCCTCCCCTCCTCTCTTTCTTCCTTCCTTCCTCCTTCCCTCCCTCCCTCCCTCCCTCCCTTCCTCCTTTCCGTTTTGTATTTTTATTATCTTAAAGCTCTTCTTTTTTCTTTTAGTTTATTTTTTTGTAATCTCTGTACTCAATATGGGGCTCAAACTTATGGCCCCTCAAACTTATGGCCCCAAGAATCTCATGCTCCTTCGACTGAGCCAGCCAGGCGCCTTTATGCTAAAGTTCTTAATTCTTGGGGTGCCTGGGTGGCTCAGTCGGTTAAGCATCTGACTTTGACTCAGGTCATGATCTTGCGATTTGCGGATTTAAGCCCTGCTTCGGGCTCTGTGCTGACAGCTCAGAGCCTGAAACCTGCTTCAGATTCTGTGTCTTCCTCTCTCTCTGCTCCTCCCCTGCTCATGCTCTGTCTCTGTCTCTCTCTCTCAAAAAGAGACAATAAATTTTTTTAATATAACATTAAAAATTTTTAAAAAGAAATAAAGGTCTTAATTCTCATGCTCTTTCCCAAAGATAGATGGAGACTATATTTATTATATATTATTATTATATACTATTATATATTTTATATTATTCCACTTTATATATTATATAAAATATATAATAGTATATAATATTAATATTATATAATCATATATTATGTATATAAAATAATTATATACATACATTTGGAAACGTTTACTATATGGTTATCTTTAGGAGGGTTATATTACAGTGTCTTTCCCTTGAATTTGGTAACAAGTTCAGATAAAGTCACTCTCTGAAATGGAATCCATCAAAATCAATAAAGAACAGATACTTTTAGCCACTTGCCAATTAATTCAAATTAAGAGGCAATTTATAAATGGAGATACAGGAACTAGAATGCTTGGTGAGGTGCTCCTTAGGAGATTAGGTTTGGAGACTAGAGTTCAGTCTAATCAAGGTGATCAATTAGGCTATATCTTCAGAACTGGAATGCATTTAATGCAAATGAAGTTGTAAGTGAATTCAATCATCTAACATATCCAATCTAATCATATGAAGTAGGCTGTATGGAGTCTAGTTAAAGGAAGTCCAAGAAACAAGAATTTTTAGTATATATCCAGCTGGTTCAAAGGAGATTTTTCTCTGATTTGAAACTCCAATCCTGACTTTCTAGACATCCTAATTTGGAGAAGGTAAACAAATCTAGCTATACTAGCTGAATGGAAATATTTCCTAAAAGCATCTAATTGCCTTTGTTCTAATTCTTTGCCTGCTAACCTAACTCGTCTATCTAGAATATGGCCTCTGGAAAGGAATGCCTACCACAAAGGTTCTAAGCTAAGAACCACATCTGTAATCCTACTGAAGAGAAATATCCTGTTACCTGGCAAATGGGCACGCCAATACAGGGCTCCTTCAGTCACCTACGAGTTTCGGGAAGCTGTGTTTTGGTTGTCTCACGCCTGGCTACCGCAGAGATTGGAGACAGAATCCGCACCTAGCCCCGCAGAGGTGAGGGCTGGTCAAGGAGCTCCGGGTCAGCCTTGTTGAGGTGTTGACAATGGGGAGGGCTTGTCCGAAGCATTCAGCCAATCTCCCCTTTTTCTCTTCTCTTTTAGCTACAATCAAAATTCAGTGGCCCAAATATATAAATAAAGAGGAGCCCACAGTGCTACATCTGATGTGATTTTGAGGAACCTTGCATCAGGTCACCAATATGCTACACGCTTAGCCCATGGTCTAAGCATTCCTTCCTAAAGAAGCAGATGACCAAATGCAATATATAAACTCTCTCATCTGAGATGTTCATGGCTCTCTTCTCCTATAATCAGGGCCATTTTAGGCAAATAGTAGCAGGGAGAGCTAACAGAATGGTCCGGGGAGACAAACACAGGGCTTACTCTTTATCTCTGGAACATTCAGCAAGCTTGACTCTTTTCTAGAGATCAAATCCTCCTCAACGCCACAGCTCTTCATCTCAATGGCAGAAGACCAGATTCAGACCTGTTATTCTTTCCAGCCAAAATAATTTTATTCCATTTTGCATGTTTTGGTAAGTTTCCTTCCTCTCCCTACCTCCAACTGCATCTCTCTACTCTGATAAGCCTCTTGAGCCGCCAAGGATGAGTAGCTCGGGCTGCTCCTCACTATCACAAGGAAGAACAATCTCGCCACGAAAGAATGTCAAGGTATGTGACACATGTGCCACACAGGAGGGTGGTCAACCTCTTCTGTTCAAGTCACAGTAAGAGAATGGTCAATTAATCAAATTCTACCAGTTGTGTTAAAAATATACTTTCATCTAGTAGACTTCCTTCTCTAAACGAGGCAGGGAAGTGAAAAATGTGCAGATAAATGAGATTTGTAATCTCTTGTCTTCAAATGACACATGCTTCAGGCTGGACGCAGGATGGCTAAAGAAATGCTTTAGGAAGGTCAGCCTAAGGGCACAAATGACCAGAGACAGAGAGCCAACCAGGGTCAGCCATATTGCCAGCACCAAAGAGGCAGCGGGGCCACCTGCTGGAAGGAGTGGGCACTGCTCTGGCTTCTTGGTCCTCTACCTCCTTGATGTCCGTTGAGCCAGGTCTACGGCAGGACCACAATCTTTTTCTCCAGCTTCTGTGGTGGGAAGAGGAAGTTTCTCATTATCTCATCCAGCTCTTCAAGGGCCAGCTGGGCATGGAGCTTGGCCACATCATCGGGCTCCACACGCACCACGTGTTTCAGCAGGTGGTAGAGATCCTTAAGGACATCCCTCAGCACCTGTGAGAGAGAGAGAGTGTCATGACTATCTGTCTGCTGTGCCAAAATTGCTCAGGACGACCTATGTGCCTTCTCCTGTCTGAGAAGTTCTGTGAGAAAACTCGCAGGCTCCCTTCAGAAGCTTGTGCATGGCCTTCTCAGATGGAAGGAGGAGCAGCTGTACTGCGAGAGTCTTCCTCTGGGGTTTCTCATGACTCTGACAGCTCAGTATACTAGCCTTGAGGGCTGCCACTCCCCTATATCTCCAGGCCACAGTATAGGTCCCAGACCCCTTCCTTCAGTCCCAAAGCACAGCAGAAACCTTACAGCCACAGACAGGGACTAGTGCCCAGACCTGGTTACTACTAGAACACAGTTACTAGCATCTTCCTCTCCAGCTCCCGCAAAGCCCTCTGCTGACACCATCTGCAGTTATCTATCTTATGAAACCCAGAAGGCTCTCTTTTCAACAAGCATGCCTTTCCTTGCCACCACTTTAAAACTTTTCCACCACAGGGGCAGCTGGTGGCTCAGGTGGTTAAGCATCTGACTTTGGCTCAAGTCATGATCTCGTGGTTTGTGGGTTAGAGCCTCGCATCAGGCTCTGTGCTGACAGCTCAGAGCCTGGAGCCTGCTTCAGATTCTGTGTCTCCCTCTCGCTCTGCCCCTCCCCCTCTTGGTGCTCTCTCACTCTCTCTCTCTCTCAAAAATAAACATTAAAAACATAAAATATTTTTTTCCACAACAGTCCCATCTCCATGTCCTTCCTCAAGTCACAATATGGTTTTCCATTGCAACGCTGTAACAGGAGACAAGAGAGGGCTCTGTAGACAGAGCCACACCCAGTCCTCACGTCCCACGTTCTCATCTTGAGCTCTGACGTGGAATTGGGAGGGTGCCAAAGCACTACTCCCAGGAGCTCCTAATTTCCTCCCAAATCCTCCTGGCTCTGCAGTCAGAGCTTTTAGAAAGAAACAGGTTTCAGGGGTGCCTGGGTGGCTCCATCAGTTCAGTGTCCCACTCTTGATTTCAGCTCAGGTCATGATCCCAGGGTGGTGGCATCAAGCCCCATGTTGGGCTCCATGCTGAGTGTGAAGCCTGCTTGAGATTCTCTCTCTCTTTCCCTCTGCCCCTCTCCCCCCTTCATACACACACACACACACACACTCTCTCTCTCTCTCTCTCTCTCTCTCTCTCTCTCAAAAAGAAAAAGAAAAACAAACAGATTTCAAAAGAACAGGGAAACTCAGAGTAACAGGCCTTAGGGTTCAACTGGTCAAACTAGGGACTAAAGACACTAGGTCACAGGGGGTCACATGACTTGTCTGCAGCTACTTGCGAAATTACTTCTGGTCTGGGCTCGGTGCCTCAAAAGCTACTATTTTTGTATTAGGTACTGTACTAGGTATTTTTCGTATATTATCTAATTTTTATGCTGGTCATATAAAGGAAAGTTGTTAGCCTTATTTTACAGATGAGAACATAGAAGATTAGAGGGGTAAGGAACCTCCCAAGATTACTCAGCTAAAAAAATGGTAGAGCCAGATTCTAAACACCCAGTGTCTGTGTTCTTATTTATTTTTATTGAAAAGGTAAGGCTCATTCAGTTAAGCATCTGACTTTGGCACAGGTCATGATCTCTCAGTGTGTAGGTTTGAGCCTGGCATCAGGCTCTGTGCTGATAGCTCAGAGCCTGGAGCCTGCTTCGGATTCTGTGTCTCCCTTTCTCTCTGCCCCTCCCCTATTCGTGTTCTCTCTCTCTCTCTCTCTCTCCTCTCTCTCTCTCTCTCTCTCTCCTCTCTCTCAAAATATAAACATTAAGAAAAAAAGGTAATACAGCACAAAAATTATGTATTAAAGAATTAGTTTCTCTTCTACTCCAGACTCTTAGTTTCCTTTCTCAGAGAAATATCATGCTTAATTCTGAGACATGTGCTAGATGTTTACAAGCATATATATTTTCCCTTTCCATTTCTTTTCCTTCCTTCCTTCCTTCCTTCCTTCCTTCCTTCCTTCCTTCCTTCCTTCCTTCCTTCCTTCCTTCCTTCCTTCCTTCCTTTTTGAGTGACAGCAAGACAGAGCGTGAGCGGAGGAGGAACAGAGAGAGAGAGAGAGAGGGAGACAGAGTCCGAAGCAGGGTCTAGGCTCTGAGCTGTCAGCACAGACCCTGGCATGGGGCTGGAACCCACGGAACAGGAGATCATCACCTGAGCCAAAGTTGGACGCTTAACCGACTGAGCCACCCAGGCTCCCCTGCATCTTTCTAACAGATACATAAACTATATTTTTTTCTGGTATGTGTGTAATTGAACTTTACCTTATTGATTTGCAAGAGCTTTTTGTATATGAAAAAAAGTCCATTATTTACCATATAAGTTGCAAATACTCTTTGTCACAGTTCACATTTTTTTCTTTGTGAATTTTTTTTTTCAGTGGAGAAGTTTGTGTTTTTGATGTAGGTAAATTTGTCAGTTTTTTCCTTTATGGTTTTTGGAGTTTGTATTTTGCTTAGAAGTTGGCCTATAATCTTAAGCACTGTACTATGCTATATTGTTTCTATTTATTAGTAATGCCACCTAACATGTACCAAGTTGGGTTTATTTCACTATATGCAAGCATCTCTGACAATAAGTGGTTCAAACAGGCTTTAAAATTTTTTCTCTCATGGGCCACTCGAGTGGCTCAGTCAGCTAAGCAACTGACTCTTGACTTTGGCTCAGGTCATGATCTCACGGTTTCGTGAGTTTGAGCCTGCATCAGGGTCTGTGCACTGACTGTGCAGAGCCTGCTTGGGATTCTCTCTCTCTTCCTCTCTCTCTGCCCCTCTGACCTGTGCTCAGTCTGTTGCAAAATAAACTTAGAAAATTTTTTTCTTTCATTACTTTTGTTTTTTAAGGATTGATTGATTGATAAAGTAGGCTCCATGCCCAACTCATGCTTAGAACCCACGACCCTGAGATCAAGGGGCACATGCTCTACTGATTAAGCCAGCCAGGCACCCCTCCCTCTCAGTGTTTTGGAACTTCAAGCACTGGCTGTACACTGAAGTCTATGCCAATGTATAATTTCCAAAAAGGAGGAAGATCAAAAAAAAAAAAAAAAGAAAGAAATAGCATATAGACATTCAGCCATTTTTCCACATTTGTTGTTTTTCATAGAAATCATGTAATAAATATTTATAATAACCTATATGCTATAAACATGGACCACCTCTGCAAAAACTCTGTTAAAAACTGGAGTAAATGGAGAGGAACATGGGGGAATTATATACTCTTTTATACCTTTTTAGTATTATACTTTATGAATATATTACCTACTAAAGAATAAATAAGCTTTTTACTTAACTGAATTAACCACTAGGCAAAGGTTTTCCATGATGCCATTTAATAGATAAAAGAGATATAGAATCTGACTTTATTTAAAAAAATTTTTTTAATGTTTTATTCAATTTTGAGAGAGACAGAGATAGTGTGAGCAGGGGAGGGGCAGAGAGAGAGGGAGACACAGAATCCGAAGACAGTCTCCAGGCTCTGAGCTGTCAGCACAGGGCTGGATGCAGGGCTCAAATCCACAAGTAGTGAGATCATGACCTGAGCTCCTGATCTGAAGTCCTGACCTGAAGTCGGACGCTCAACCAACTGAGCCAGATTCTAGCCAGGCACCCCTAGAATCCAACTTTAAAGGCTTACAGTCTAGGGGTGCCTGGGTGGCTTAGTTGGTTAAGCGTCCGACTTCAGCTCAGGTCACAATCTCATGGTTCATGAATTCCAGCCCTGCATTGGGCTCTGTGCTGACAGCTCAGAGTCTGGAGCGTGCTTCAGATTCTGTGTCTCCCTCTCTGTCTGCCCCTCCTCCACTCACTCTCTGTCTCTCTCTGTTTCAAAAATAAACATTAAAAAAATTAAAAAAAATAAAGGCTTACAGTCTAGTAGGGAAGATAAGTTACACACATAAATAAAGAACACAGTAAGTGTCCTAATAGAGCACAGAAAGAGTACAATGAGAGGTTATAGGAAAGAGAGGTCACATTTTAGAAACAGGAAGTAAACTGGAGATGGTGAAAAGAAATGACAGGAAATGTTTAATTCAGTGAGTTAACAAGTACAGATGACTCTTGAAAAATAAAGGTCTAAACTGTGTGAGTCCACTTATGTATAATTTTTTTGGATAAATACAGTACTGTCAATGTATTTACTCCTCCTTATTATTGCTTAATAACATTTTGTTTTCTCTAACTTGCTTTATTGTAAGAATACTGTATAAAATGCAGAGAGAGAGTAGAGGGGGAGAGGGGGGAAGAGAGAGAGAGAGAGACAGAGTATCTTAAGCAGGCTCCATGCTCAGTGTAGAGCCTGACACAGGTCTCAATCCTACAATCCTAGGATCATGACCTGAGTTGAAATCAAGAGTCGGACACTCACCCGACTGAGCCACCCAGGTGCCCCTATTGTCTTAAAATTCTTAATTTTTTAAAAAATGTTTTATTTATTTCTAGGAGAGAGAGAGAGAGACAGCGTGAGCAGGGGAGGGTCAGAGAGAGGGAGTCACAGACTGAAACAGGCTCCAGGCTCTGAGCTGGCAAGGCTGACGCGGGGCTCGAACCCACGAACCGCGAGATCATGACCAAGCGAAAGTCGGACGCTTAACCGACTAAGCCACCCAGGCGCCCCTTAAAATTCTTAATTTTGACTTTGTGTTTTGAAAGTGAAGTACAATGGGACAAAGGAGCCTCAGTGTGAGCAGATGAGATACACCCAATATGTGTGTCCACCATTCTTTGCCAGGGCATTCTGTCCACAGCGTCGGCCATGCCGCTGGGCACAGAATTCTGATGGACCCACAATGTGTGGGAGTTCAGCAAGACTTGAAGCCAGTAAAAGGGCAGCATGCTTGTCATGTTGGTGACTGAGCAAATGGAGGCAATAATAGCCCAGAGAGGCTGCACTTCCCCTGTGAACCAGAACTTGCTTCAAACACAGAAAGAAGGCAATGGCTTTCTAAGACACATGGATGAGTAAGAT